AGACACAACATTAGGAAACTGACTAGTATTCAATAAACTAAAAAAAAAAAAAAAAAAAGTAGCAGCGCCCAAACATACACATACCTTCTTATGGAAGGAAATATAAATTACTGGGGGAAAATACATTATTCAGTAAACAGTAAAAAAATACTCAGTTGCTTATTTCAAAATACAGCATCTGAATCCCTACATGGAACAGCTAAGATTCTGAGATTCTAAATGGGCAAGAGAAATTAAATTCAAAACTTTTATTTTTTTGAGGTGAAAACAGGCCCAGTATCAAAAACACTAGAAAATATTGCCCTAAGCCAAGCTGGGACACTGATGATGCTCCACTGCAGCATCACAGGCCGTTAAAACTGCTCTTCGGTTCACGGGCCCTCCAGAATGTTGCTGAGAGGTCGAAATCTGGAAATCCATGCCCAGGTTTTCTTTCAATTTCCCCGAGAACAATTCTCCCTTGAGCCAATCCTCCCCTTCCTCCCACCACCCCCTACCTGGTAGAAAGGACTCAGACACACCATATGACTTTTTAAAAATTATTTAATTTAGTAGTTTTCTTGGAAAAAAAACAAGGCAAAAAAACCGAAAATATATATAGTTTTGTTTCGTTTCCATGTGACTTTATTTCACCTGAAGGACTCGAAGCTTCTTCCATTAGCAGGAATCTGACTGGGGAATCAGGATGGAAATGTAGTGCAGATGGCGGGGGAAGGAAGCGGGTGGGGGGAAATAAAGCAGGGAGTCCCCACTCTGTCTAAAGCCCCCTGATTAGGTCATTGCTGTTCTGGGCCTCCTGGAAAAGAAGTCCCGGCATAATGCCTTGCTTATGGAAAATCAGGTTATCAGGTCTTAGGAGGAAATTCCCCAGGAGTTGCCCCTGTCTCAGGTTTCAGCACAGCTGGGAAGGGAGGGCCGGTGGGAGGGAATGAGGACTCATCTACCCAGTACAAATGCAATCTCCCTGCAGGGATGGCTTCCTCTGGAATGATACTTCCCCTGAGGACCCACCTGGGCTGAGGCTCAGCAGTTAAGGAACAGGAACAAAAAGACACTAACAAAAAGCATACAAGGAAGGCACCTCAATTTGTGATCCTCAACCAAGGGTGGGTGGCACAGGGGTCAGATTTCTGAACCAGACAACTTAAACAACCACAGGACAAAACAGGAAGGAGACCAGGGCCCAACAGGAGCAGCTCTCTCGCCCGCTCCCTGGGACGGTGCTTTTAGCCCCATCTCCCAGGAAGAAGGCTCTTTTGGGAATCAGCTGTATGTGCTGTGATCTGGACAGAGGCAGGCTTAAACTGGAAATTACCCTCCTGACTTTCTACCCATACCCTTCCTAGCAAAAGAAGGAAAAAAGGTAGGAAAGAGGTTAGGATTTCATTTTCAAGAGTCAGGGAATTAGGAGAGCGAGGTTTAGACAGCCCGTGACACAAACCATGGATCAAGTCCCTGTTCAGTAACTGCTTACGTTTGGAATCTGTCTGCCCCTGACACGTGGAAAGCAAAGGAGACTCCAGTCCACGTCAGTGTGTCCGAGAGAGGCCCAGGGAGACAAGTGATATCAAAAAACAAGATTCTTAATGGGAGGAAGGAAAATCAAACAAAAAAATTAGATTTTTCTCTACATATATATAATATACAGATCTTCAACACATTATTCCAGAGGTGGCTCCAGTCCAGGGGGCTTGAGAGATGGTGAAAACTTATTCCAGACAAACTCCTTCTCTGGGGTTCTGAAGGGTCTCGAATAGGACGGGTAATGCTTTGCTCCACACAAACCCAAATTCTGGGCACAAAACTGCGTCGGTACTGTGCCGAGGGAGAGAGAAGAAGGGCAGTGAAGGATGGGGTTGAGGAGGGAGGGGGACAGCAAAAGTGGCCAGCAGTCTCTTTCCATCCTGCCTCCTCTTCTCAGAAGTTCTCCGCCTGAGGAAGTCCGTAAAACCCCTCTGCGAGGAGGATCACGAGGACCACGCAGCCCTCCTACCGACCACTCAAGTGGCCCTGGTTGCTGTCAAAGAAGACGGAGAACAGCAGCAGGGGGTTTTACGCGAGTGAAGATAGAAACTTCCAAGAATCTGACTCTGAACGTTCCAGTCTCACGGAACGGTTCTCTCACAAAGTGTTCCAATACCACGGTTTTCTCCACCCGGACATCCCGTTAAATTGACCCCCTTTGGAAACATTTCATAACGTTATGCCTAAGCTCCCCACGAGCATTCACGATGCCTCCTTGGTTAAGCCTTACATGTTTCTTTTTAGAGGAATTTCTAAACTCAGCTCTTGCTCTGAACAGCACCAAAATGCTCCTGACTCGTCACCGTCTGTAGATCTTGGCTGAGCAGGACACTGTAAGGGGGGTGAGGGAGGGGGGTGAATGACATCACCTTAAACGGGGGCAGAGGGCGAAGGAAGAGCCAAGAGTACTTGACTTTGCAGAAGTGGAATAACACCAACTTTCAGCCACTAACCCTCTCCCTCGCGAACACAGTATCTAGTATGTCGATTTCAGTTTCGATCAGCTAAGGCAACCAGCCAATCACCACCAATGGTGTCTGCTTCTGGTGATTGATTTGGAAAAAATGATTGGTTAAGACAGACAAACCGGAGGAAAGCACGCGGTAAGAGAGTCACCGTTGCCAGCCTTCCCGCGCGTCCTCTGTCCTCTTCTCCTTTGCACCCTCCTCCTTTTGCTACTGCCGTTTCAGAAAATGTCTGGGCACGAGCTCCAGTCCTGCTTCTCTTTACACTCCCAGTATCCTCCCCTATAAATGTGGGTTAGCTCCTTGGTGACGGGGTCCTTCTTCCGCTCAAACCACAGAGCCTTGTAGGGATCGTAGGGTGTGCCTAAAGGGAAAGAAAAACCGAGGTTAGAGCTGAAAACAGCGCCATCCTCCATGCGTCCGGAAACAGAGGGAAAGGCGGGTTCGCTACCATCCTCCGACGCTTTCATAGCTTCCGCTTCTCTCTTCTTTCTGGCGAGTCTCTGTTTTTCCTCCAGGCGCTGCTTCTCAGCATTGGCTTCATCCCAGCGTCCGTTTTCCATCAGTCTCTGGTCGGGCCGTAACCGGCTGTCTGTGGGGGCAGTCCCACTTTCCCAGGCATTCAGAGTGAGAGCGAGCTCGGAGAAGTAGTACATGTTTTCCGCGTTCTTCCTAAAAGTGAAGGATGAGAAAGAGACAGGGTGATGCCAGGGCCTCGACCCTCATTAGTTAAGGAGCAACCACTAAGTTCACTGCCAAGGACGACATCACCAACACTGTCCAACCAATGGAAAGACTCGGGGACCATGTAGGGTCCCCTAATTGAGAGACCTGTTCCCCACCCCCTCTCCCCGGGATCACTCGATTCGATAGCTTTCTGGGCCTGTGTTGTGCTCAGCTGAAACTGGGAAGAATGAAACATCCTACTAAATAAAACTTTCTTTCTGTTTGCTTTGCCTTCTTTTTAACCTCTTTCTTGGATAATCTGGGCTACTACTAAGGACTGAACACATGAAATGACAGGAGACAAATGGCCTCCATCTCCATCTATTTCCAAAGTCCTGTGCGTTACACAGGGGCTGCTAGGCCTTTTGGCTCAGTCGTTCACAAGTAGTAGGCATCGCTCTCCCCTGGCCACTTCTGAACAGCTGTGCTCCAAATTAGAGAAAAATATCCTTCTGCCTTTGTATCCTTATCCTGCCTGTATCTGCACTCACTGTGTTATTTTGAGATGTCATACTGCACACAGCAATGTAAAAATAAAAAGTAAAAATTTTAATTTAAAATAAAAAAAATCTCCTGAATCCAATCCAAAGGACCTTTAGAAAGCACCAAACAGTTTTTGGCAGACGTGGTCTGAGTGGTCTGCACTTTCTCGGGACAAGGCATGTTACAGCCCCAGTCACACCGGGACAACCTTCTGGTCATCTCTCCGGGTCTTGACTTCCCCTACTCAGTTGCTCACATAATTAAGTGGAAGGCAGGCAGAAATGCCGGCGACTCTGCTCGGAGGCTGAGGTCGCCACCGTACTGGGTGGCAGGCAGACTGCTACTCACGGTAAAGGATTCCGTTTCCACAGCATGACCCGGCTTTCCTCCGCTTCGTGGCCTCGCTGCCGAGCATCGCCCCCATTCTCCCCAGCCACGGGCTGTACTTTGAAACAATCCATTTTCTCATCCCACGTCCCCAGAAGGGCAAAGTGAACTCTTCCTGATGGATCTGTCACTTCTCCTGTCACCTACAAGGGTGGAGAGCAGGGCTTTGGAGGATGATGGCATTCACTGTGGGTTAGCTCACCTGACAATTCCAAAAACTAAAGTCCTAGGGTAAAGACAGGTTAAATCCTGCTGTGACAAACACCATGGAGCCATTCAAATTGTTTTGTTATATTTTCTTGGGCTGCTTGAGAGAACGGAGCCAGGAGCTGGAGGTTTCATTACCATTTTGCTGCATGGGGATTTTTGTTGTGATGATGTATGGAGAAAAAGGACCTGACTCTTCCCAGAATTATGTTATGTTCTTCTCTCCAGAGATCAGAGAGCCACAGATTTCTTCACTCTCCCATCAAAACTCACGGCACAGTTCCACTGCGGTGGTAACACAGGGCTCTTGCTCAGATCTCACAGGGGTCAAACTGCCCGTGCCTTCTTCCTGTAACCCTTTCATTAGTCCTTTCTCAGCGTTTCCCATTTGCAATCTCTCTTCGCTCTTAACTTTTACTTTCTAACTTGTCTTTTGCTGACTTTCTCCTTTACCTCTCTTTTTAAAAAATACATACACACACACACCCACCCCCATCCATCCATCCATCCAACCACCTATGCCAGCTCCAAAGGAGTAGCCTTTCTAAGGGATACACACTAAGTGAAAAACGTTTTAATTCCAGCTTCTCTTACCTTTCTTGCCACATCTCGAGAGAAGTAGCTATAAGGAACAAATTTAAGATTGCACTTGTCTCCCGTCTTGTGGTTCACAATGTCAATTTCGCCAGACTATAAAATGAAAAGAATCATGGATTTGTTTTATTAAGACCGGATGACTTGCATACGTGCCAAGCCCCATGCCTCATAATTCTCTACTTTTCAATCTTACATCCTAGCACTCCCTTGCTTAAGATTCAGGTTGTAGCCAAGCTTGAGACACTATGGAATTCCTCTGTAATCTTGATTTTCCAGGTTGGAATCAAGGCCAAATGACCCTTCTTTTTTAAAATTGTGTGTCACATGTTAGGTGGCATAGTTCGACTTCCAGCACATAAATTGATATTCACGTAATAATTTACCTTTCCAAACCAGTCCTCCGTTGGTACCCTTCATGAACTCTGTGCTTAAATTATTCTACTCAGTTTCAGGATTACATATGGTGGGCCTTTCTACACGTTATTCATTTCATTTTCTCCTCCCTTCTATCTTGTGAATCCCAAACCACCCTTTAAGACTCAGCTTAATTCTCACATCAGCCTGGAGCCTTTCATGACTGCTCAGACAGTATTCCCTCTCCTTCCTGAATTTACTGCAATCATTATTTTAAGAGCAAACTGACACTGAATTCGGTATTATCGTAGTATATCTCTTACACTCGTCTATTTTCTCAAATATTTTTTAGCGCACACCCATTTGTCACCTATCTCCAGTGATAACTCTCTGAAGGACCATGCCTCATCTGACTTTGCATCCCCAGGGCCTAGCACTTTGCCTGGCCATAAATGTTAGCTAATAATGAAAGGATGGAGGATGGAAGCCATGTTTATTATTTTCTTGTATCCTTCATCGTGCCTAACACAGTCCTAGTAGAGTGGTCACTGAATGAATGTTGCAATTTGGCCATTTATAAATCATAATTTGTGGTATAGAAACTTGGGGAGGTTAGGGATGGGGCTACTGCCTGGGAGAAATTCCCTAGGTGAAACTGATATACCTGTAACAGCAGTCTCGGGCCGGTACACATGTCCTAAATACTACAAAGATGGACGTAAGGAGGTACTACTTTTCTGAACTTTAGAAGCCCTTGGAGAACCTTTCCTCACCTGATCGATCCACAACTTGCCCACGATAATGTTGTGCACTGTTGTGGTAACTTTTTTCCAGGTGTAGTGGTGCCCAGTTGCATGGAAAATACAGTGGATGCTACCTAGAAGCAGAGAGCGTTACGCAAATTAAGTCAAATATTAGTAAGACAGCACCATGCCAGCTAGAAAGAATGATGCATTGATTTCCTTCTATCAATATTTCCTACTTTTAAAAAGAAAACAAGTCAAAGAGGACTTATAATCTTTTTAAATGTTGGAAGCACTCAATTTTTTTCACTTGATTTTCACATTTTTGAATAAAATATAACTCATGATGACAAACATGGACAACTGACACAGCTTGCCAGGGGGTAATATTCTGCAACTGTAGAAACAAAAAGGGAAGCAAAAGCCCCAATCTTTTCACTAACTGTGAAATTTTGTAGCCATACATGCTGCAAAATTTATAGGAACAGGTCAAATCTGTCCCAACATGAGAAGACAAAACTGCACTATGGAAAAGAGCACACACTGGTAGTTAGAACTGGGGACAAGCCCTGTTGTGAGTAACTGGCTGTGTGACCTTAAGCAAACCACCCGTCTACGACCTTAACAGTAAAAGAGGAGTGGCTGGAGCAGGGGCTTTGGAATCAGACAGAACTGGATTCACTGGCTCCACCACTCATTAGACATGTGAGCCTGTCTGCTGTGTAATAAAGAATTTGTCTGGTCTTTGTCTGTGGTTCCTGGGAGAAAACCTCTAAACCCTTGCGAGTTCCCATGTGATGGCAGTGTCTTTGTTACTCATGAGGGCCCTGGTGGTTTATGCCAACGAGGTGCCTCATGGCGGGCCCCTGGATAGATTACGCCAACCAAGTGGCTCAGGATGAGGGTGGACCAGAAAGACCAACCATGTCATTAGGCAGTGGGTGCTTCTGGCTGCCTGATATGGGCTGGACCTGGGCCTCCCAACCTCCTGGGAATGATATTCCCTTCCTTCCAGATTAAGCAATCATGCCCACACCAGGAAACTGCGATAAAATCTCCAGACAGTGAAGCTTGGTGGAGCTTCCAGGCTGTTAAATACACCAATGTGCCAGGCAGGTGCTGTGCTCTGGTTTTCAGGGGGAGAAGGCATGGAAACTCCACGTTCAGGATCCTCCCACACCCCATGCTACGTGTCCCTTCATCTGTGGCTGGTCCTGACTTGTACCCTTTATAGCTCTCAGTAGGGAGTCTTCTCCTGTTCCTATGAGTTAATCTCAAATGAATACCAAACCCAAATCAGTCGTTTGAACAGAGGTGAGTTGAGATTCAAAATTATCAAAAATTTCATATATAATGTAAATATTAATATTAAAATTAATATCAAATTTTAATATAACACATATATATAAAACTCCAGTAACGGTATAAGTCTAAGCTCCCTCTGTAACGACGAATGACAAGAACACTAAATGTCGCTTTGGTGTGTCTTTCTTGTACGAAGGAGCCTTGATGGCTGATGAGCATAAAAATGGTGACAATGACACTATTAGTAACAACAGCCACTGTGCTGCGAGCACTTGCTGTGTATCAGACACTGTGCTGTGTTCTCTTCACCTGTCACCTCATTTAATTTTCACAACCATCTTCAAAAATATTTACTCTGGGGGCTGGGGGGTATAGCTTAGCGGTAGAGCACGTGCTTGGTGTGCATGAGGTCCTGGGTTCAATCCCCACGGCCTCCGTTAAGGGGGGGTGGAATTTACTCTGCCTAATTATGTTCTAAATCTCTTGTTCAATAGCTCTCTCACCACCACCGCAGTCTAAGCCACCAGCAGCTCTTGCTGGAATCTCTGTAACAACTTCTGGTCTCCCAGCTTCCACTTTTCCCCCTTCAAGTCTTCAGTTACAGTGATCTGTTTAAAACATGTTGTATCAACTTACCACACTAAAAAAAATCTCTGTTACATCCCACTGCAATTAGAATAAAATTTAACTTTTTTCCCTGGTGTACAAGGCCATACAAGAGCTTCCCCACATCTCATCCACCACCCCACCCCCGCCCTCAACTTACTCTGAGCAGCGGCCGTGGCCTTACTGTTTCTCAAGCATGCTAGGCTCGCTCCCCCTCAGAGCCCTTACTTTTGGGGTTCTTTCTGGATGGAAAACACTCCCCCAAGTCATCTTTTGGTTTCGTTTCTGTTATCTAGCCTCTGTTCAAAGGGAACCTTTACAGAGAACTTCCTTCACTCCCCTATCCAAGGAAACACACACGCTCATTCTCCACCATTAACCCCTATCTCCACCTACTCTGTTTTTTCCAACGAACCACCCCATATAAAATTAAATTATTTTCATTTCATTTACTTTTTTATCTACTTAAGAACGCAAGCTAAATGAGGACCAAGTGGCTTCTGTTCACCTTTGTATACCCATAATACCTAGAACAGTTTCCGACATACAGGGGGCACTCAGTTATCTGCGGCCCCCAGTGCAGGCACTATCGTCCCCTACGTTTGTTTCCTATGGCTGCTGGAACCAATCGCGACACTTCTGTGGCTTAAAATAACAAACCTTATCCTCTTTCTGTTCTGGAGGTCAGAAGGCTAAACTCAAGCTGTCACCAGGGACTCTAGGGGAGAATCCATTTTCTTGTCTTTCCCAGCTTCTAGAGGCCACCTGCATTCTTTGGCTTGTGGTCCCTTCGTAGCATCACTCAGACCTCCTGCTTCTGTTGTCACTGACTCTGATCCTCCAGCTCCCTCTGATAAAACCTTTGTGCATACAGGAGGCCCACGGAATAATCCAGGACTATCTCCCCATCTCCAGAGCCTTAACCACACCTGCAGGTTCCTTTCACTATGTGAAGTAATATATTCACAGGTTCCAGAGATTGGGATGTGAATATATTTGGGGAAGGGGAGGCATTATCCAGCCTACCGCACGCCCATTTTACCAGTGAAGACTCTGAGCTTAGAGAGATCAAATAATTTGCACAAGGTCACACAGCTAGTAAGCACTGGAGCTGAAGTTCAAAATAAGAGCAGAACGTCTGTACCGTCCAACACCATAACCCTGTGTCCCACCCGGACCGTGGACCTGTTGTTCTGCAGTGTCCCTGCCGGCTCACAGGGATAGCGGGAAAACAAAGAATGCCTATGACTGCCTTCCCTCATGTATTATTTGTGTCTTGGAAACCTGACAGTAAGTTCAAGATCTCAAAACCGAGCCATTTAAAATGTGGACAGAAGACAGCCACTTGCAGGATGGTGGAGTAAGGACATCCACGTGTCTGCTCCTCAGTAATGCCAGCAAGGACACAGCAAAAGTGCCCAGGACACATGTTTTCACAATGCCGGAAATTAACCAAAGGATTCCAATGATCTGAGAAGCATTTGTTCAGGAAAAAGGGCTGAATCTCGGTAAGAAAATGAATTTTGAGGCATTTTAACTTGCCCTATCCCCATCCCCACCTCCCGAGCTTGGAAGTAGCCGTGAAAACCAGCAGGCAGTCTAGCAAACAGTGGAGGAAACCGAACAGCCTCAAAAGCTCCAGTCCCAAAGAACAGTCGTATCTCACCTCTCTGGTGCCTCCTTGTAAACTCCCACTCACACGGCTTATCTTTATTTGATCTGACTCGGCACTTGCTCACCTCAAATACCCTTTCCCTGCGGCAATTATCAAAATAATCAGTGGCAATTATTTAACACAACAGCTGCCTGCGGTGGTGATAACTGTTGGAGCTGTTGAAGAAATAATGGCCAAAAATTCCCCAAATTTGATGAAAAACCTTAATCTACACATCTAAGAAGTTCAATGAATGCCAAGTAGGATAAACCCAAAGAGCACCACACAGAAACCCACCATAATCAAACTACTGAAAGACAAAGACAGAGAAAGAATCCTGAAGGCAGTAAGAGAGAATCGTTAATACCCAGGGTAACTGCTACAAAAATAATGTTAAAAAATATAGTAAAAGAAATAACAAGGGAGTTAAAATGGTAAACTCGAAAATCATCTATTTAAGACAAAAGAACTAACTAAATATTAAATACAGCCGTCCCCTCAAAGGCTGATGTCTGGAAATTCCACTCTTCATATTTCTGTATTCAGTTTCCTGCCAGTATGTCAATTCTTTATTCACTCTCCCTATGAAGGCTGGGACTTCCTGTTCACTTACATTTCCCGAGCACCTTAGAACGATGCATAGCATGTGGTAGATATTCAGTATCTAATAGATGGGGTGACTTGAGATAATACATCCTGGCCGAATACATTTAACCCGAATGGTTAAATACCCATAGGAATGGAACTCTATCAAAAGTATTTTCTTAACTCTAAAAAAACTAGATCCACCGCTTCTTCCCTGTTTGTATAGTTATTTACCCCTCAAAGAATTCTAGATTAGTCAAATTACAGAGAAAATACACAGCACATCACTGGTAATTTAGGTTTATTGTTATTTTTCTTTCTAAATGTATATAATCGTCGCTAGAATTAAATACAAATACTCCATCCTTTCAGAGATCCTCAGGGGGCCTGTGAAATGCTTTTCCATGGATGAAAGTTACAATGCAATGTGACCACCAACACCCTAGTTCTGCAAATTAGGTCTGATCGTCCCAGGGGTTTCCTATCCTTAAGCTGACACTTCTGAAATTATTAGCTTCAAAGATAATTCAGTAATTAGAATCTTATTAATGGTTCTCAGTAAAGATCAAGACCAAAATCACTTAGTCTCCTTTTCATCTAAAGGCCTCTTGCACATTAAGCATGAAATGATAGCGTTAACACTCCAGTTTCTTGTCTTTTATTGTATTACTAACAACCCTGGATTTTCTTCTGGCTAATTTCTGGTGTGCACCTGTACCCTGCTACAGTTTGTGTTTCTGAGAGAAAGGGGGATTTACTAAAGAAGACTACACCACAATAACCCAGCACTGTAGCAACGACTCATGAAAGACTCGGACCAGGAAACGGAAAGCCATCAAGACACAGGCGATCACCAACAGCTCCGTCTCTAGGGAGCTACTAGGTTTCTCTCTACCTATTTTGTGTTTCTTTCTCTGTAGACCAGCATTCACTCTTAGTAAACACATGGCCAAATGTGGCTGCTCTAGTTCAAAAGAGCATCAAGAGGTGGGGCGGGAACAGCTCAGTGGTAGCATGTATACATGTTTAGCATGTATAAAGTCCTGGGTTCGATCCCCAGTACCTCCATTAACAAATAAATAAATCAAGCTAATTACCATCACCCCCAACCCTGCCAAAAAAATAAAGAGCGTCGAGAATTTCCACTACATTTTTTGAATAATGTCATTTCCCCTACAGCACAGACACTCTAACACTGCGTGTTAGGATTTCTATTCCCAGGCTTGATCTTTCTGATCTTGGTGCAAAATCAACTTGTAATCCTGATTAAGATCTTTTAAAATAAAGTTTCATCTTACCTGGAGTTCAGCTGTTTCATAAATGATACCTAACCTCTCCAGTAGACGTTAGAGAGGGAAGAGAGAGGGAAGAAAGGAGAGGAGAAGGGGGAGGGGCTTCACAAGAAACCTAACCTTGCAGTCACAAGAGTTCTGATTTATAGAGAATCTGACTGCTAGGGCAGTGGGGGAAACAGCACCCACAAAGAGACAGAATTTTAAAAATGCAAGCTAAAATTTTGTTCTAAAATAGTACTTAAAGATGCATTAAATATAGCCAAGAAGACAAAGGATTTATGACTGGATGGGTCCTTAAAGAGTCTCACGCCCCCTCACTCACTTGACAACTGAGACACGAAATGACCTGCACAAAGCTAGTGGAGAAGGTTCAGGGCCCAGATCAGACCCCCATGCTCCTGACTGCTGAATCAGTGACCTCCCCATCACGCCAGCAGGGCTCTCCTTCCCGGAGCACTAATTCTTACAAGATGGTGGCCTTACCGAGGGGCATAATGGAGAGGTATTTGCCTCGGAACTTGCTGGTGATTTTGATTTCCTGACGCAATGTCCAGCCATTTTTGGACTCAGCGTGGTGTGCAGCTGCCGGGGGATGGTGACTCACCTTGAAGAAATCAGCGGTTCACATTACAAGGGAGAAAGGAGAAGGGAAAAGCTACTGCCTTATGAACTGATGATAAACGCCCCAAATTCCCACTTGACATTTGCACACCCACGGCAGTAGCTGAACACCAGGGCTTCCAGTGCTGAAGTCCTGAAGGAAAAGAAGGCTGTCTGGGATGACAGGGACTGGAAATTTCTGCAAATGTAATACCCAGGGCTCAAATGCAAAAGTCATCCCTTTCTTCAAAAAGGAAACAGGTCGCCGATCCCGAGGCCCCTTTACCTGCTCACAGAGGGATCGGTACCCGTTCTCCTCTAATCGGTCCAGCTCAAAGGTCTCCCCAAGGAGTGGGTTGAATGGCTTGCTGGTACGGAAGACAGTAGTGGAGTAGGAGGACACGGTGAAAGCTGCAACATAACAGAGCTGTTCTAGAGAGTTCTCACATTTGGCAGCTCGGTCTAACAGCTCGTGGTATTCCAGGTCTTCAGTAAGGCGCTGAAGCATGGACAAGGGCTCATTAAAGTTCACCTGTCAGGAAAGGAGCAGGTATGAAAACTGTGCCCACACATCTACATGAGACAGCGCTACTGTTTTTTGCAGGTGGAGACACGTATCGAGATGTCAAGATGATAAAGTCAATCACTGGGAAAAGACGCGGCCTTTGCTCAGTTGAGCAACACTGAGATCTAATCCGAAAGCAACCTGTTCCCCCTGATCAACTGCTCATGTCGTTGAGCAGTGGAAATCACCATTTTCATCTATTTGACCAACTGTAAGCTCTCAGAGATGGGAACCCGGCCTCTTCAGCTCCCCACTGCATATCCAAGAGCCACTGAGGCCCAGCCCGTAGGGGACTGTCATCAAAATGGGTGCTGAATGAATGCATAAACGAGGAGATGTACTTTAGGGTAAGTATATCCAGAGAGGAAGGAAGGTATTTAAATTTTTTGAGGGAGGGAAGAAAGGCTAGTAAATTCTAAGTGCAGGCATGCCCTGATTAGTGGGAAAAACATTACAAAAGTTAGCTCCTACTCCTGGACTGGATGATGGCTGAGTCTCATGTCAGCTCGACATCAGGCCAGGACTCTGAGTTCTTCTCTGAGGCTGGACCTTGTGTTCCTGGACCTGCCGTGCTCATGCCGGGGGCTGAGAGCTGGTTGTGAGTGTTCCTGCCTTTCAAGTTTTGAAGCCAACTAAGGTAAAGAGGAAGGGAGCAGGGAATGAGTTATACAGCTGATGGAGAGCTGGACAGCCAAAGAAGATCCCCTGGAGACTGGTGACAGCAAGAAGCCATAAACGCTGGGATGCTGGAGACAGAAGCAGTGATGTCACTGTAGCACAGAGCCCAGAGGCATCCGGCAGAAGCTGAACCCTGGGGGTCGGGGGCCTGGCCAGTGAAACCAGAGCCACCCAGCTGCTGCCAGAGCATTGCCCAAGAGAATGCAGCCCTGGGAAGTACCCCGGGGTGTCTCCCTTCCTCCCGGCTTGAAGCTCCTCCTGGCACCTGGCACTGGTGGAGCCCAGCCAGCACCGGCAGACCTGGAAGCCTGAGACACACAGCCCGGAGGGATCGGCTTTCCTATGACACAGCACAGAGCAGGGGGAGGGCGAGGACTAGCTCTGCAGGCAAACAGGCCCAGGGCGGCAGGTTCCTTGTCACCATGTCAACCAGGAGCTAATGGCAGAGGAGGACGGACAGGTCACCTAGACTCAGGCTCTAAGCGGAACTGCAGTTCTGAGGCTGCAGTTTGCCTTTCCAGCCCACCTCCCCGCCACTTCCTTCAAGGAAGCAGACACGTGGGGCTTCTTTGGGGCCAGGGAACCAACTGGTTTACGTTTCACCAGTGTGCTTACTCACGGCCTTTTCTGTCTGGAGGTCAATAATTGTCTAGCAAAAATCCTACACACTTACATACAAATCTGTCTTCTAAGACCCAGTTAATTAATAACTTCAATATCTGCTGAATGATATGTATGTGCCAGGAACTGGCTGAGCAACAAGGGTGTAGAACCAATATATAAAACAGCCTCTGCCCACGTGGTCTGTGGAGTGGCAGAACCCACCCACTGGTCCATAAACCCCAGGAGGCTGGGAGATGGCCTCCTGTGTTTCTGCGGGCCAAGTACCTGGCTGTGGGCAGAGCCAGCAGCCACCCCCCCTCCCCACTCTCTCCTCTTCTACAAGCAGCAGAACCCCCAATTTTTAACTAGGCCGTGCCACTGAAAAAAGAAGTCTTCATTTTTAGCCTCTTCTCCAGCCAGCTGTGGCCATATTACTAAGTTCTGGCCAAAGAGACTGAAGGGAAATCGGTTTATGCAATTTCCAGGCCACCCTTAAAAGGCAGGGCATGCCCTTCTCCCCTTTCCTCTTCCTGCTGGCTGGGATGACAACCTGATGGCCGGAGCTGGAGCAGCCACCTAGGACTGAGGAATGGGGGCCACAGGCGGCAGAGCAACAGGACAGAAAGGAGTCTGGTCCTGACACCATGGAGAAGGGTACCAGCCCAGGACCACCTACGTCTGGCCTTTAACATGATAATGAGGTGAGCTAATATTTACTTAAGGCAGGGATTGGCCAGTTTTTTCTGTAAAAGGCTAGACAGTAAATATTTAGGCTTTGAGGGCCATGTGGCCTGTCATACCTACCCAACACTGCTCTGTTGTAGGATGAAAGCGCCACAGACAACTGGTGAGTATGAATGAGCATTTACTGCGCTCCAATAAACTTCATGGACACTAACCTCTAAATTGTATATAATTTTCACATCACAGAATATGGCCCTCCCTTTTGATGTTTTTCAACCATCTGAAAATATAAAAACTATTCTTCGCTTGTAGGCTGTACAGATGACAGCCAGATTTGGCTCCAAGGCCACAGTTCGCTGACCCCTGGTCTAAACCAATCTATTTTGGATTTGCTTCTTTAACTTGAACCTATATCTGACTGATACACTGATACCACCCCAGGCAGATAGGCCGTCAGTAAATGCTTGTGGTGTGAACGAGCAAGTGTGACCCACTGCCCAGGAATACACTGGTACTGTGGGAACACACCCTGCTCAGACACATGGGTGAAGGTTTGCTGAAAGAGACGACACTATAGCTGAATCCTGAAGCAAAAGGTACCAGCTACGGCAAATGGAAAGTGGCACGGGTGGGTGGGGAGTTGATGAAAGTTTGGGTGGAAAGAGCAGCGTGTGCAAATGCCCTGAGGGGGAAAAAACCCAAGATGCCGGTAAGCACCTGAAGGGAACCCCCAGGGACTGGAACACTGCATGCATCTGGGTGGCACCCTGTCCTTGGGGAGGAAGTACCAAGCCCACTAAGGAACCTGGAATACCCTCAAAGCATAAAGGACCTAGTAAAGAATTTTAAGCTAAAGAATGACATAACTAGATTTGCAGTTTTAAAAAGGTAACTTTTAAAAACTGGACGGACTAGAGGAGGGCAGGACGGGAGGCAGGGAGGTCAGACCACACACCATCTTCACCATGGATACAGTCCGCATCCTCCTGGTTGGAATGAACCATTTTTGCTTCTGCACTCCCCAAACCTTTGTGTGTACAGCGCTTCCCACAACCCTATCAAGAAAGGAGTATTTTCCACCTGTTTTCATGTCTGTCTCTTCTGCATTACATGCTTCTTGAAAACAGAAACTATGCTGTATTTATCTCTGCATGTCCCCCCCACATCTAGCATAGGAATTTGCTCCTAAATAACTGTTACTGAACAAATGCATCTGATTCTAGGTGATCTGGAAACGTGCGAGATCCACAACCAAGTTTAAAGCCTGAAGGGATAGTTTATGACTATAAAGGTAACAAGGACCACGCCACAAACTGCCACACAAGTGGGCGGGGCTGTCCTGGCTGCATTCTCCTGACTGGGGCCTGAGAGGCCCTCTGGGCAGCAGCCTGGACGTGCAAGAACCTCACTGGCCTCGTTTATCTATTTTATATATATATGTAGTTAGCAGCTGTAAATCCTGAACTCCCAATTTATCTCTCCACCCACTCCTTTCCCCAGTAGCCTATAGTGAAAAGAAATATACACGTAACTGAATCACTATGCTGTACGCCAGAAACTAACACAACATTGTAAGTCGACTAGACTTCCACTCAACAAAACAAAGGGCCCTCACCGGCATGGGGATCTTGGAGAGCTCCTTCCCTATGCAGTTCTTCATGATGCTCCACAGATTGAGGCTGTAGTTGGGCTTGTACGGGATCCTCGTTCTCTTTTCCTTCTTGGTCTCTTCCAGCTGATGCTTGTACTGAGCCCAAGACAAAGCCATTCAATCACCCACAAAGAACAGAAAACCCAGTATTTACAAGCTTCCCTTCCCCCACGCTAAGAAAAAAAAAATCAGTATTTTCTGTTTCTTTTAGTACTTTACAAGCAAATCCTTGGGGATGACAGCTAAGTCCCTCACTCCTGGTAACTTTCAAATAAGAGTTACCTGTTCATCAAGGCTGATGTCACTGCTGGCCCCACTGATGTTGCTGCCAGTACGTCTACATGGATGGGAAACACGAGAATTAGAGTAAAGCTCAGAACTAGAGTTTGGTCCCCGCCATGTGTTTACAAAGCAGAATGCTAATAAGCACGCTGCACAAACTTACTAACGAGTGATCAAACGATGACACTTAGAAAAGAATATGGATGAATAAACATCTTTGGAGAACTTGCTCATGTAAAACAGCTGACAGTCTTCTACTTACTTAAGGAAATAAGTCCAGGTCTCAGGAAACACTACGATACTCACTGAGAGCACTTCCAACCCTCTGATGGTCGGACACGATGATGTTCGTGTTTCTCGAGAGTCCAAAGTAACTTACTTGTGGCCCAAGTTTTCGGGCATAGTGATGATCTCAGGAGCATCAAAAAATTCATTCTCGTCATCCTCGTCGCTCATGTCTCCTTTGCCAGAGCAGCACTGGTCTACAAGGAGGAAAGCCTCTTCTGTTTACTTTGGCTACACTGACCACAACCTGGCATGACAGGCTCTTTTCACTACTGACCACAAACATAGCAACAAATGGTGGAAAGCCGTGGACAAGTCAGAAGAAGTAAATGGCTTGAATTCCATTTCCCATGAGTCACTGATTGCGGAGACTCAGGAGTTCCTTCTACCCACTGTAGAACACCACCCGGCACAGATCAGAACAGGCCAACCAAGAACCAAGGTGGCGTCTCACCTTTCCCCGAACCGGTGTTGCCGGGGGTGTTGGCCGGCAGCACCGTGGCCCCGCGGAAGGCCCTCTCCAGGTGATTATGCTGCTTCGCCAGCTGCTCCAGGGTCTCTTCCAGCCGGATCCGCTGGTCCCTCTCATACTGGAGGGATTTCTGCCATTTCTTACTGTGGGTCTGGGCTAACAAGAGGAAATCTCGGCAGGCCTGTATGAGAAAGAGTCATTGTGTGTGTCACCTCCACCCAACTTGTCAGAGATGTCCCCCTAGGCTTCTGTAAGCTCATCAAGTAACCTCACTCTGGGAACTGTAACAATTACAACGCAAATTACAATGAAAGGCTTTCCCTGTTCTTCCACAGCATCAGGGGGCAGCCAGCCCTGTGATGTAATCAAGGTCAACCCCAGGGGAAAAAAGTGAGCGTGGTTGTCACGGTTCTCTTCTATTCTCCTGCTCATGCAGACCAAACAAATGCCAAGTGAGCAGTAAACCCAGACAAAGTATTTGTGGCCACATCACAAAGGGCAGCTGTGTGAACTGCACCAAAGAAAGAAACCTACTGACGGAAAGACGAGGAAAAGTGTAGGGTAAGTGCTTTCAATAAATTCTTTTTAAAAAATATTTTTATTATTTTTGTTTTTTAATAGGGGTACCATACCAGGGATTAAACCTAGGATCTTGTGCATGCTAAACACACACTCTACCACTGAGCTACACCCACCCGCACAACTTTCAATAAGTTCTTGACTAAACTCAAGTCACCTGAAGCTGAGAAATTCAGCCATCGAGAACAGAGTCTTCACTGAATCAGACCAAACAGGAGGAAATTAAGTCGGTTTCTATTTTAGTCCCTTAGAGAAACAACCAACCTCAAAAATTAGAAGCCTACCTGTGGAATCAAAGAAAGACAAAACACGAACCTGATCATACTGGTCCCTTCACGGCCTCCCCACTGACACTAGGACCAAACCCCAAGTACTGGTTATGGACATAAGGGGCCCGGGCCGCCTCCTCTCCAGGCACCGGCACCCGCCTGCCGCACTGAACGGCTCACCGCTCCGCAGACACGCAGGGCTCTTTCAGGCCTGCCTGTCACAGCACGTGCCATTTGCTCTGCCGAGAATGCCTTCCTGCCCGCTTGCTCTGCTTGGCCAGGTCCTGCTCATGCTTTTCAGATCTATGGCAAATGTTCCTTCTTCTGTGACACCCTCCATCCCTCCCATCTGAGCCGCCGCCAGTCTCTCCTCCGCTCGTGCACATGGTTCTGTTTCACACCAGCCACAGCAGTTTCGTGACTGACTTTCTTCCTCTCCAGATGGACTATAAGTGACTGGAAGACACCATTTATAGCACGCTCACATACTTCTCTCCGGTCCTACCTTAGCTGCTTTGTACATAATGGGAGCCTGTACAAAGTTTGCTTAATAAATAAATGAAGGAAGGAAGCGACGTAAGCTTTAAAATCTATGCCCTGTTAAAGAGAAACTAAAAGGTAAACAGAGCATCTACTCCCACAGTTTCAACCTTTGCCTACGGACCAGAGCCTTCTAAGTCAGTAGCTCCAGCTCTGCACTCACAGAGCTGCAGACCAGACTGGCCAATTGCCCACTCAATAGCTCCAGGTGATCTCAGGATCTGTGGGTCCCCAACCACCACATCCCCTTTCTGATTCTGCTTCTCCATCCCAAGAACAGTCCCAGGGCCCTTCCACCTGCCTAAGCCAGAAAACAAAGAGGCATCCTTGATTTTTGGTTTTCTTCCCTCCCCACATCCAAGTATCAAGTCCTATCGATTGTTCTTTAACATTTCTGGAACCTGTACTCTTCCTTCCACCCTCCCTACCCTCGCAGCACAGAGGACATACTCTGGAGTCGGAATGCTGGGACTCAAATCACAGCTCCATACTACTGTCTACCTGTGGAATTTTTAGCAAGTTATTTAACCTCTCAGTGTCTCATCTTCCTCATCTGTAAACAAAGAATGAGTACCTCAAAGTTGTTACTTAGAAATACTGCGCTCACATAATCACTCAATAAGGTGTTAGCTATTACAGTTAAGTCTGCGTCAAAATCGGTCTCATCCTCTTCTAATCCACTAGTACCAAGTCCATTTAGTAGGATCTGCACCCCACCCTACCCCACCCCACCCCACGCTAATTCCTCCTCAGCCTTATCTCTGGCTACTTCCTTGCTCTACTAACAGCTAATTGCGAGTCGTTCCCAGACTTTGGGAGAAAGAGAGGAGTCCATATATGCACACCTCCACCTGGATCAACCCTCCCCCATCACTTCCTCTGATGTTTGCTGAACATGACTCCAAGTGAGTGACAGGTGACTATCCGTCAGGCACTTTGATCAACACTTTACATCAAGTACCTAATAAAAGCCTTTCAGCCACCCTGTGAGCGGCTACTAGCGTCCTCACCATTTACAGAAAAGGAACTGGGGTCACAGAGGAAGGAGGGGTGCCCAGGTTACAGAGGTAGTTAACCGAGGCAGGTGGACCTAGGGTCCCAAGTTCCATGTTGCCTTTTTGTCACAGGAAGACTCTCCCAGGTCCTTCAGAATTTAGATGAGGTGTTACCTTTCCTTATCCTCCCAGTCCGAGCTAAACACCCCTGCCGTGCCCACCACAGCAGCCCGTGCTCACTTCTCTCACGGGACTCAGCACACTCCACGACCATCTGCTCACTCCTCTGTCCCCTCACTGGAGAGTAATCTCCCTGAGGGGAGGGCCCTCATCCGCACTAGTTTCATATCCCCTGGCAGACGGCCACTGAACTAGCCAGTGGATACAGTAACACAGCGTCAGATCCACTCCCCTGCTCAGATTCACTTTGGTAGCAAGAAAAACTATATCCCAAGCAACCAGGCAGTTGAGTGAAATGAATGCATTCTTCCTTTGATACAACTTTGCCTATTTAGAGATGTGATGTGCTGGCATGTTAGTTTTAAGGCTTCACCATCATCACTGAAAGGTACAAAGGAAATGACACAGGGATAAGAAATGCATTTCCAGCAATAAACGGCTATGAAAGGGGCCCAGGCAGTGCACCCAGGGAGGGGAGAATGAGAACCGACACGAACTCTGGATGCCTAGAACTTAGGGGAAAGAATCACCCCGAGGAACCAAGATAAGCGTATTTTCAAGAGAAAAGTCCAAACTAAAGTTTCAGTTCTATGAGAAATTTCTAAATCAAGAGGCATATCATTTAGCAATTTTTTCATTTCAGAGTAGTAAAAGCACTGCCACAGAGCAGGGTGCTCACCTGACATGGATAAAAGGCAACAGAGCGTTGTATCCTGAGCTGTTCTATTTAAAAGGTTATGTATTTACTATTGATTAAATGACCTGTATGATTTATGAGGCTTTCCTGATCACAGAAGGACCAGAAAAACAGGCCCACAGGCACGAAGCAGGGTGACAGTCTGGAAAAACAGCAGACGGCTGGAGCTCAGATACCTAAGCGTCCACGCGGATGCGCAGGGCGGCACTGGAGGTAGGCTGACCCCTCTGCGGTCCTGAAGTGGACAGAAGATTTTCTCTTTTCTACTTTGTGTGAATCAGAGCACTGACGACAGTGTTCGACACTTCGGAAAAGCGATATGAAAATATTAAGAAACAAAGGAGCCTTAGATGCGAAAAACTAAATTTTCCTTCGGTCATAGGAAAAGAACTTTGGTCTCTCGGAGCCTCGTTATCTAAACTAGTTCTAAGCAGACGTCTTATCACTCCTGAAACAAGGAGAAATCTGGCCCCAGTGAAGAAAGTTCAAATCATTTAATGAGACAGGAAAAACACCACCACACCTGCCTAAGCCCTGTCTCACAGAGAAGCCTCTCACGTGCCCTGTGCAACGTCCTCCCATGTTCTGACGTGGAATGGGGGTGAGCTAAAACACCCTGCCAGGTAAGGATCGGTTACCGGCAGAGGACACCCAGCACTGCTTAAACCATGCTCTCATTTCATCCCTGTCACAACTCACTAACGCCAGGGGTGCTTTGGGTTTACCTAGAGCCGTGCACCTGAGCAGCCGAAGCATTCCACAAACCAGCAGCAGCCACTCGAGGCAGGAGTCAGAAGGAGGCAGAAGCGCTGGCCCCTTCCTTTTAAAAAAAAAGTGCCCAGAGGAGTGGGTATAGCTCCCCGGTAGAGTGCATGAGAACCCAGGTATAGCTCCTGGGTTCAGTTCTCAGTACCTCCATTAAAAAAAAAAAAAGTTGCAAGAAAAATTTAAAAATGGAAGTCCTTAATGTTGAGTATTTCATCACCCAGCATTACCACTCCAATCAAAGACTCAAGATGGGACCAAGTAGTATTATAGGGTTCTCACTAGTACTAGATTCGGCCCCCACGTACCACACTGTAGCCCAGAATGCATTAGCAAAGTAGGGGTCAGCCTCCAACCTAAAGCTTAAACTCAAAGAACATGACAGTGGAAGGGACCCATGAAGACCTTTCAGTTCCAACAAATAAGCTTAGAGAACGCTAAACAAACAAATAAAACAGAACTGCAACCCAGAAAGATGAAGGGACTCAACTAACATCCCCATCAGATGTCCTGCCGGTGGCAAAAGCAGGGCTAGAACCCTGGACTCCAACTACCTCGCGGGCTGGAGCAGTGTCCCCCTGACCATTTGAGCAGAGCGTGAACGTCACTGCACCTGTGCGCCCTGTCCCAGTTTCACGCAACAAACCATGTGGCTTAAACCCCCTGAACAGCACAGCAGGACCTCATGGTCCTTCTAGGCTTTATTAACTAGTTTCCCAGCGCTTAGGGAGAATTACATCTCAAAGGGGGGGGGGAGTGAAAAGCGAGGCGGGCACCACGCGCACTCACGTTGATCATGGCATTGGACGTTATCCTGAAGAGCGTGGCCCGCTCGTTGACCTGCTTGATCTTCTCGTTGCTCTCGGCGGGCAGCCGCAGGGACTCCAGCTCGCTGAGCGAGCGCTGCAGCGCCGTGCCGTGCTTGGCTATCAGGTCGTTGCACGTGCTCAGGTCCTCCACTTTGCTGGACAGGGTCCGCAGGGTGTTCTGCAGCTCGGTCTTGTCCGTTTGGGAGACGGACTCTTCATCTCCTGACTCATCTGGAGGGGTGAAGAAAGGGGGAGTCACGTGACTCCCGGGCCCAGGGCTAAGGGGGGAACCCTACCAGCTCTACCCACAACCAAGCCCGACATGCCTCAGGCTGTGTGTTCTGACCCACCGAGGGCTCGCCACGACGAGGTAATTCACCCGCAGTGTGGTCCACAGCCCACCTGCCCACCTGCATCACAAACACCTAGGGTACTTCTTTTTTTTCCTGGGGTGCACAACAATAAGCATTTTTTTTAACTCATGCTTTTTTCCCTTTCAGTTTTATTGATCTATAATTGACATATAGCACTGTTGTTAAGTTTAAGGTGTACAAAATATACACCTTACATATATTGTGAAATGATTACAACAAGTGAGTCAACATCCATCATCTCATATAGATACCAAAAAAGGTTTTTTCCTTGTGATGGGACTTTGAGGATCTACTCTCTTAGCAAGTTTCAGATACACCGCACAGCAGTGGTTAACCACGGTCATCATGCTGTACACTGCATCCCCAGTGTTACCTTATAACTAGAAGCTTGTGCCTTTTGACTCCCTCCATCTGATCCCCTCATGTCCCGCCCCAGAGTTCTTCAAGGTGCAGAGTCTCTGGCCCCACCCCTCCCAAAGCTTTGATTTGGCTGCTGTAAGGCAAAGCCCAGGAATCTGCATTTCAAATAAGCTGCCTGGGTGGGTAATTCTGCTGCACACCATGGTTAGAGAACCAGTGACCTAGAGGACAGGGTGGACAAGCTAAATGGCTCTTGGGACTGGGAATGAGTTACTGAGCCTTTTAGCCCTAGCCTGAGTGTCCCAATCTAGTCACACTGAGTATCACTGCAAATCCACTATCATCTGCCAGGCGATCGGTGGGTCTTGTATGAAACAGGTTGAGAATCGCTGTCTGGCCTTTGTAAACCAAGTCTGCATCATCGAGAGACTCATTAATTTCTCTTTCCTAAAGGAGAACTCAGGACCTTCAGGATGAGTTCATCTGACACCAAAGCCAGCACTGCACTGAAAGCAACGCATGGTCTTCTGTTACATGACTTTCAAATAGCAAGTCAAGCAGGGAGCTGTTGTACCTCTCACTGTCGGCTTTGTACTTAACACTCCGTAGCTGCAAAGTGCTTTTCCAGCAGTGTCACTTCCTTCGGGGGAGCTAAAATCAGCACTAAAATCAAAACGAAAGACCTGCCCAATCTGCTAGACAGGGAGGTAGGGCCAAAGTCAATACAGAACCTGTGAGCCCAAAATTTACAAAGCAGTAAACTCTCCTCTTACTGCTTTTGGTAGATACTAAATACAGGGTGGGAAATAACAAGGGGTAAGAAAAACAAGAGCTGAACAAAAGTTAGCAGGTGACCATCTTGGTCAGCTCTAAATGAACAAACTCCACGTGATTAAACTATCAGTATTTGGAGGGAAATCCTACCATCTTCCTTTAAGAAAAATCAAAACATAATTAGACTGCTCTTTTCGGGAAGACTAAGGTAGCAAAATAAAGATTTTTCACAAAAGATATCACATATCATTATTTTTTTTTAATGTGCTCCAGGAATGAAACAGCTCTGGCCCCCAACTCTGGCATCAAGCTAGGATGAACAAAGGACTGTACACCTGCTTTCCCCCTGACTGATGTAAGAGCAACACCACCAGTCAGGTGTCTCTCTGCCCACTGCCAGGGGGTTTCACATATAAAGTTTCTGGCAGTTGATGAAGATTGCTGGTTTCAACTCAACTAGCAAATAGTAAGAAGACGTCAGGAGAAAAGAAGAAAGTAAGGCTAGATCAAATTGGGAGTTGTAATAACCTAAAGACCAACTTGTTAATAAAATAATTATTTCACAAAATTTCAAGGTAGTCAGTTGACATTAAAAGCCGAAAGGAAAACTGTCACGCTTCTAGGACAGTTTCCCAAGCTCAACAATTCTGACATTTTGGGCCAGATACCCCTGTTGTGGGGGCCTGTCCTGTGCAGTGGAGGAGGACACTACTCCCTGGAAGCCAGTAGCACCACCGCCCCTCAGCTGTAACCAATGTCCCTTTCGGGGCAGAAGTGCCCCCAGCCGGAAGCCAGCACGCCAGGAGAAATGCTGCATGATGGGGAGAAACCTGACACACTCAGGAGAGAGCTGATAACCAAACGACAAGGAGGGACAAAGTAAGATTTGTGCCTAAGAGGGGCAAACGGAATGTCCCGCAGATGCGGTGTTCTTCGCTTCCTACCTGATTCTGCCAGCATCTTCACAGCCTTGGCCTTGGCCAGCTCCAGGGCTGTCACCCAGCGCTGCCGCTCCACTTCCGAGCTGGCCTTCAGATGGTAGGTCTGAGCACCCCCGTTGGAAATGATGAAGTTGCAGGAGTCCTCCACGGTGATGTTGGCTGTGGCCAGGTTGATGGTACCCCGGCAGGTGTGTCTCATTTCTGCCTTCGACCTGTAATAACGGGACAAAGACAAGCCAAGGAAAAAGCGGATAGGGTGGCTTATCCTTCCTCATATTCCATTTCTTTTCCTAAGTCTAAGCCTTTCGAAAATCCAGTAGTCTCAGGCGTCAGTAAGTTTTATTATTTCCCTCAAATGGCTCCTTAAAATTCCAAAAACCATCAGTAGGGATTTCCTTCCAGAGCCTATAAGTTGTCTCTGAGTCAGGCTGTATTGCTCTGCTGTTCCTCTCGCTCCCTTAGCTTTCAAAAACTAGGTTTCACTGAAGGGTAACTACATATAATACCAATTCAGCAACTCTGAGTGTACGACTGAGTGAGGTTTGACAAACGTATACGATTGTGCAGCCATCACCGCAATCAAGATATAGAACATTTCTACCACCCCAAAGGGTTCCTTTGTGCCCTTCTGCAGGCAGGAATTACCTTCTATTTAGCAAGTTATAATCGTGAAATGGCGCTTTATAAACTCATGCAACAAAATTTTGTAGAATAATCTTACTGAGAGAAAGAAGAGCTCCATTTTACATATATTAAACAGCCCAGCCCCACAACTGTAACTCAGCCCAAAAGAGAATTGTCACACTCTGCTCACAACTACAGTGCACAAGTGTAAGGCACGCTGAGATGTTTAGAGTGTATTTAGAGTTGTATTTGACTGCAGCTCAAATGATATGAAACAGGGATAACTAGCTTTCTGTGGGTGTAAAGAAAGAATAATCATTTAAGAATCACCAGGTGGTATAATCTTTCCAGAATATATTTCCTCAGGTCCACTGACCTCTGTTGGTGGGAACTCCTAAGCCATTCTATTAATAGCTAGGAAAGATTCAGCAAATCTGTTCTCAGAGGACTGGGTGTAAAAAATTTTCCCCATCTCTTTTGACTGACAGTTCTATTAATAGACTCACTTTTGAACTTTGCTGCACTGCTTGGTGACAACAAGCTACAAGAGACTTTATGTGAAAAAATCAAGCTGCCAGAGTAATTGAGGGGACGGGGCCGACCGTGCTCATTTCCCCCCTAGCCCCGGCCGCTTGGGCGCGGGGACCTGTGTGTTGAGGCTGCAGTTTTTCCTGACCAACTTGGAACGTAAAGAGGTCAAAGTCCCTTGCCAACTGTCACCGTGCACAGCAGAGCCATTTCCCTTTTGCTCGTGCCAAGTGGCCCAACACACCGGGCACATCCAGAATTCCTGCACGCCAGAAATGACACACTCCATCTCCAGAAACTGCGATTTCAGAGGTTTGAGAGAGGCTGTTCACTGTGTTTTAGGAAGACAGATTTGCTATTGTTTGGTTTGTCACATGAAACTGGTTTTTCTTCCTCAAATGCACAAATGAGCAGTATGGGATGGCCACAGGGTCTCAGTGGACCGGGCCATTTTCCATCCCCTGCACCTGCCACACTGTAACATGAATCCCTGTTTTTTTCTGTTACCTCCCCTCCCCCGCCCCCTAGCTTCAGTTACATTATGAATAATGCAAGCGAACTACAGACCCACTGCCGACAGGCCAGCTCGCCCCTGCTTTCTACTCCAAAGGTGCTACTTGGACCTTCTACCACATTCCTCACAATGTGTTTCTACTTTTCACAAGCCACTTCCTAGGACTCTCTTCCATCTGGGTCATCTTCAGGAACTAAAGAAAGTTTCCCAAATCACAAGAGCCTGGAGCAGTTTTTAAAATGCCAAGGAACCCTGGGCGTAAGGCAGGCTTGACCTCGGAGCTCGTGAGTTCGGGTAGATACACCTGTGCTTATAAATGATTGATGCAGAAGTTGGAAAGAGGTGGTGTTCAGGGTGCAAGATAGGTTCTTCTCACACTTCAGTATTAGGTGGTATCTTCTGGTTAGAAAGTTATTTCCGGAAAAGGCCAGCCGAAACAGTAACTCAATCTCTAGAAGCCAGCCAGGAAAACCAATACTATGGGCTTGTCACCATGCATCTGAGAGCGCTGGGATTCCACATGTGGCTCTGAGTAACAGGACATCCGTGCAGCTTTGCATGTAAGGAAGAACAGGATAGGTAAAACAGAAGGCTTGCCAAAGCCTATGAGCACGCCCTCAGAGGACGGGTCTAGGAAGCACTCAGTTAAAAAGAAAATAGTATTTTGTAAGAGGCATATATAGGAGATGACAGGTTCTGGAGTCATGAAAAGCAGGACGAACAACAATGTGGCTAAATAACTCTAAGGAGATGGGGACCCAAAGAACCTGTTCAGAAGAATAAACTACTGATCGGTTGGTAGGAAGTACTTCAATGTGATTTTGAGACTAGTGCATAGATTTGATAACTTCGGATCCTGTTGCTTGGTTGGTTTTGTGGGTGGAACTATCTTAGCTGGCAAGGACAGGCCAATGGCATATTTCCCAATATGTGGTTTCGTATGTTTTGGAAGGAGTTTTAGCTGTAGTCAGACAGGTACCACTAGCTCTTGTAAGAGAGAAGTTAAAAGTGGTTATAAGTACGTGACGAGACAGCAACATCTAAGTTATTAATGTCCAACCGAGATCAATATTGATCAAGACTGGAACTGATCAAAGACTTAACTGGCCTGGAAAGTGGATTTGATTAAGAACTTGGATGAGGAAAAATGACCACACATTAAGGCCTTCAGCTAACATACAACTTTTGAAAATAGGGTATCAGTGTTAATAATGACTTATAAGCCAAGTCAGGACATGAATCAATTGAACATCAGAATGATGTTCAGTGTAACCGGAAAACATGAACGTAAGTAGGGGAAAAACTTTGGAGCAAACTAAAATTTTAGATTTGTGATTTAACCTTAAACTGATGGTTCTGGATGAGTAATTAGAAAGGGTTAAAATTAAAATCAGTTCTGAATATAATAACACAAATGATACACACAAATGTTCATAATTAATGTCACTTAAGCAGGGAGGATGCATTAAGGTATTTTCCACTGTGTTAGAGACCAGATAAGAATGTGTTCCACCTTTATCAACCTCCAACTCCCATCTTCAATTTCCTCTCAAAAGTTCTTTAAGAGATGATACAGTGGAGCTGATGGAAAAGAGATTCGTTCACCCTAACTGTCCCCATGGCAGAGTGGCTATTGACAGAGGAAAAGAGATACAGAGTGAGCTGTTATTAACAGCAGTGTCTTGGATCCCCAGTAGAATGGTCTTTATAAAAAGACTTCACTCAGAAATGCCATTATATTAAGCAATATCTCCCTTAAAGGTGACTTCTATACATTTTGTATAAAACACACATAGTAACCATGATCTATAAACTTACTTGCTGTAGGTATTTATCCCTGTATTTGACTGATTCACATAACACTAACCTGGGTTTTAGGTTATGTTGGTGTGAAAAGAATTAGTTTCAAATCCTGACTCAAGACCCTGTGAAAGTCGCCCAAGCAAAGTCTCAGTTTCCTCATGGTTAAGTGGGAGAATCTCCTAACTCCCTGGTTGTCGCTGGGAGTCAAAGAATACTGTACGCAGAACATCTATCCAAACTGCCCAGCCCTCAGGAAACGCTTATGTCCTGTCCTCAAATCCAGTACCTTAACCTATTTATCTACAGTAAGATGAGTAGCCAAAAGCATCTTATGTTACGGCAAGATTGTCAGGTACCATAAATATATATGAAACATTCCAAAACAAGTATTGTTGAACAGATGTAATCATGCCAAGGACATGGATTCTTCTTTGAATTAACTAACCACAGATACCCCAGAATTACTGGATGGAACACTTAATCATTCCCATGGGAGATGGGGCAAGCAAAAATAATAGAAACACGGGAGTGCACAAGTCCACTCTGGGCTGTCCAGAAGGCGAAAGCATACGTAAGTCTTGGGGAGATAGAGAAGACAAGGGACAGATACCGAGGCCACCCTGTGCGTGGTGTCCTTGTGCCTGAATGTGGAGGGGGAAAAGGCGGGTACATCAAGGGCTGCTAATAACCTTGAATTTTGGAGACTGGGCACAGATAGCTAAGCCTTGCGACTTTCACAGTAAGTTCTTCGGGAGCGGCGCCTGGTCTTTGCTCTCCTATACGTGTCCCTTAGCATCTACAACAGCGCCTTCCTTGCAGAATTAATCATTGTGCCGAGGTGCTGCTGGAAACACAATGGAAGAGGAGACGCTCTCCAAACAATCGGAAGAGCCAGGGACCGAGAGAAAGGTACGGCACCGAGGGTGGGTCCGCAGGTGGAGGGGTAAGTCGTGGGGCGTTCACTTTTGTGATGCTGGGCTCGCGTCGAGGGCTGTCAGTGCGCGCAGGTGACGAAAAGGGGCCTGGGGCGACCTTGGCTGCCGCGCGGGCAGGAGGGGGACGGCGCGGGGGCTGCGGGCTGCGGTGGGGGAAGGCGCCCCGGAAGCAGTTACCTGTAGTAGCTCAGGAGCCCGTTGCTCAGCACGAACCACCGCCTCTGGTAGCCTTTGATATAATTGGTCCATTTGAAGAGCCAGCCCTCACGAGCCGAGCCGGAACCCCCAGAGCCCGAGCCGCC